CAGAAAAAGAGAACTATTTCCTTTTCTCATTTCTTTGATGAGGTACATCAAACCAGGGATATTACCAGCAGAGAGCATCATGTGAATAGGAGAAGACTTTCTCTTTGTAATGGAAGAACAAGACGTAAATGGCTTTCTTTTCTTCCTGCTCTTTCTCTTCTCTTCTGAATTAAATATATCATGATCAACAAACTGGCAGTGACCAGACGAGGCTAAGAATTCCTGATGCTTCTTGAATTTTTCTCGAGCTGATTTAGGCGATAGGATATCTTTGAGAAAGAGAGTTGGAGGTGAAGGTAGTTCTGTCAATACTTTCAAGCAAGACCATTCTGGCTCTTTCTTATCTCCATCCCTATGAGGAGAGGTGATGGGTATATTGATCCAATTGCCCAATGATTTGGCCCATTGCTGTGGACAAAACAAGTGGACAATATCTTTAATGATTGACAGGTCATTGAGTGAAGCTGCTAATGAGAGGAGATTCATCCAGTCACCATTAAACACTTCTCTCTTGGTGGATAAGAGGATCACGCGTGCAACTTCAATTCGCCCACGTAATAGACTCAGTTCCAACGGAGTAGAGCCAGTATTAGTAACAGGATAAAGATCAAGACTCTCTCCTTTTTCATCTCCTGATTCAAGTAAAGCTTCAATGACTTGTTTGTGGCCATTAGCTGCTGCGTAATGCAAAGGAGTCCAGCCAGAATTATCAGAGAGAGAAGGATCAGCTCCTTTACTAAGCAGCTCCTTACAGATGGAATGATGGCCTAGCTTCGATGCTAGAATAAGTGGAGACTGCTGACAAAAGTCAAAGACATTGACATCAGCACCTCCCTCCATTGCATGCTCTACCATTTCATCATTCCCAGCAGCAACAGCATCATGAAGACAATAATTGGCCTCCACCTTAGAGAGACAGGGAGTCAATAAATGATGAGAGAGAGGGAGAGAGGAGGAGGAACGAGCATAAAACAAAGCCCCACTGATATTGTATCCTTTATGATCAACTACGCATTCAGCAGATGCTAATAGATCCCTGTACGATTGGACCAACGCTGATACAAGGTCCCAGTGATCATTGTATATCGCTACATGTGTACACGTCCTCCCAAGTGAGTCCTGACACAATAAAAGGGACTCTGGGTCAATCGATTCCCTTAGCAACAGGTCGACAACGGCCGTGTTACCATGGTGGCAGGCGTAATGGAGAGGAGTAGAGAGGTCAGTACGAGATGCTAGATTTGGTTTGGCACCATGTTCCAATAGTAGCTTACCCACGTCTAATAGTAGGGGACGTTCCTCTGTCGTGTACATTGAGAGATAGTGAAGTGGCGTCAGACCCATGCTGTCCCTGTAGTTTGGTATCTTGTCATTCTTACTCGAGATGGATTCTAATAGTTTGATATCTCCTTCTTTAATGGCGTGTCTCAGAGGGCCTGAGAGTACAGGTAATGGAAGGTGAGAGAGAGAAGGAGAAGAGGAGAGATACAATGACAGCTCGAACAGCTCCTCTAGACCAAATACATTTCCACCTTTCAATCCATCTTTAGAGAGACTACTGAATGACGCTCCGTGTTCTAAAAGCAGGGAGACGCACTCAAAGTGACCAGAATCTACTGTAGTCGCCTCAGTAGCAGTAGATTCAGTCTCCTGACGCCTGATTATTAAATTTACTGCTAATTGAAGTGAGGAGTCGAGTGGAGAAGAAACACAAACACCTTCATTTTTATTCTTGCTTTCTTCTTCTGAATTGGGCAGGGAAGATTGTAATAGAAGGGAGCGTAGTTTATCAGGCTGATTATTAGCTACAGCCTCTCTTATGTGAGATAACAGAGACATTAGAAGAGACGGATAGAAGATTTGGCTAGAGATCTCGAGGTCGAGATGAGTAACGAGCCACACCCTCTATTATTTATCACATTCCAAACATTCCAATGGGTTCACATCACTACCTATTTTTTAATAATTATTTTTTACACACAATCATCAATTTCATCATAATCTTGTGCTATCACTTGATCCAATTCTTCATAATCTACTGCATTACATTCATTCCCAACATTGGCAGTATATGCTGGATTATCCTTTACTGTCACTACAATAGGATTAGTAGCAATGTATGCTGGATTGTCTTCCATGTCTGATGAATCAATAATAACATGTCCTTTTTTCTTGATGCAAACAGCAACAGACAGCACTATTATTACTAAAGAGGCAAGAATAATACATACTACAATGCCTACAATTATGTATACTGCAACTGGTGTTGTGTTTGTAGTAGTAGATGATGTGGATGTACTGACTACAGATGATGGGAGAGAAGATGGCTCCATGCTGCTGAGGATAGCAGTTGATAGTGTTGCATGTGAGCTAGCAGATATCAGAGTAGTGACAGTAGATACATTTTTAGGAGGAGTAGTAGATGATGAACTGCTCAGATAAACACCAGTCATCATGAAGGAACTGCTAATGGCAGTACTAGATCTAGTTACAGTAGTAGCGATAACTGAAGAGTCACTGGGAGCAGTAGTATTGATCACTGTTGAACTAACTGGAGTGGTATAAAGTAAACTGCTAGAATATGTAGATGACAAAAGTGATGGATTAAAATTATCACTTATACTGATACTAGATGAGATGCTAGGAGGAATAACTGTAGTCACTGATGAACTAGGAGTGGCAGTGACCAGTACAGATGAAGCACTACTGAGAGTAATGGACATCACTGTAAAAATAGTGCTAATAGTAGTTGTGGTAAGTGCTGTAGAGGCTGTTATACTACAAGTTGTACTAGATGCCACTGAGACTGAATACATATCATAAAAAAGCATAAATATTATCAATAACTTACTAG